GCTTTACACACTGTTAAGTGTTACCATGGCCTCTTCAGTAGAAATATCCTTTTCATAGATCCATTAGATATATGTAATATATGTCTCTGTCTAAACTACTTACGTGGCAAAAATCTCACTGTTAAGACCTGGCATTTTTAAACTGGTCTGGTTAAAGTAGGGCAGGTTTTCTATTATAGGCATGCCTTAGGGCATGGAGAGATGTGAAGAGAATCCATGGCTCCCATTATTTCTTTTGAGAATATGAATGCTTAGTGTTCATGAAAACCTGATCCTTGGCAATGGGGTCAGCTGGCTGGTATGTAGGCAGGTGTATATATGTGTGTTTATCCATGCATATGTATGTATGTATATGTATATACATATGTATAAACACCACCCCAGGGCCCAGCTCCCTGCTGCCCTGACAAGGGAATTAGGAGAGCCAGGACTGGCAGGGGGAGCAGTGCATGTTGCTGTGCTTTGTGGCTCATGCTAATGTGCAAACTGCTGCACTGTCTGCTCCAAATCCTTCAAAATAATTAAAAAAAAAAAAAAAAAGCCTCAAGATTGCACCTTCACATTTTGCCCATGGCCCTTGGTTTTCCTCCTTTAATAAACATGCAGACCTCTTCCTTGTGGTGACTTGGCAGAAAAAAGCGTGTGATATCACAAGCTCTCACTGTAGCTTAGCAAGTGTTGCAACACTGCGGCTGGCTTAGACATTTGTGGAGACCTTTTGCCTTTGCAGCTCGCACATCCCCTCAGTCTTAATGTCATGCCTCCGAGCTGCAGCATTAACCCAGGCCTTCTGATCTGATAAGTGCTGCTTTTTTGCAGGGAAATGGTATCTGAGTTAGATCTGGTACTGAGTGAGTCCTCTGCTGAGCCCGTGATGTGCATGAACTGCTGGATGGCTCTGCTCAGGAGGCTGTTTTTTCAATTTGACTTCTTAATCCTCAGGGTAAGCTATTTTTGTGGAAATATATGTATGTCTAAATACGATTTTCTGAAGTGTTTCTTGGCAGAAAGGGAGTGTGCAAGGCTAATTCAGATGGAGGGTGACCATCTCTCCAAGACCAGAAGATTCCTGCAATCCACAACATGTATCTGTTGTTACAGGGGAGTGAGCAGCCATCCCAGAAAGCCTCCACCCCGTGCAAGGATGGGGCTTTCATTCACTGGGTTTGACATTTGGGGAATTTTCACTTTCAAGTTATTCCTGACTTTATAGAAGACATAAAACACGAGTGAGTGAGAAGCTGCTCAAAAGGAGTGACACTCTCACGAGGTCTATAACAATGACAAAGGTACACCATTTTTTAAAGTGACACACATAAATGTGTCGTATCAGCTGTTTTGTGGGATTAGCCGCTCGGCTTAAGGAGCCCTGTAACCTTTCCCAGAGTGTAGTCAGCAGAGGAAGGGGCAAGAAATGTCCTAATCCTGATTAGCTAAGGATTGGTGTAAACCTTGACTGCTTGCAAAATTTCAAACTGTTGCAACTCTGCATGATTTCATTCATGCCATGCCCTTGCTGAGCCTCGCAAAGGTTTTCCTGTTGGTAAAATGAGCTCTGTCCCATTGCTTGTAGCCAGTTCCCTCTGGGAAGCCCCTGCATAACCCTTACTTGGTGGTCACTGAAACAGCTCAAAGTTAAGTCAAGGTGTGTGATGGCTTGGAGTAATGTGAAAGAAGGAGTAGGTTGTAGAGAGAGTAGAGAAATTGCTTGCAATTTTATGGTTAATGTGGAAGATTAAGTTTCAGTTTTAGTATTCTATTGTATTCTATTCTATTCTATTCTATTCTATTCTATTCTATTCTATTCTATTCTATTCTATTCTATTCTATTCTGTTCCGTTCCGTTCCGTTCCGTTCCATTCCATTCCATTCTATTCTATTCTATTCTATTCTAGTTTCATTTACAGCTTAGCTGGACATCTGAGCTGAGAGTGATGTGGAAACATTTATTCTGAGGGACTTTCCCCTTAAAGGCAAGCCTGCAGCATTAAAGGTCTCACAGGCTGTGCAGAGGGCTGGCAGCAGTTTCTGAGCAACAGCCAAAAATATGTTCTTGCAGCAGCATTTCCACACTAATACAACAAAATCAGCTCCACTACATATGGAGTCAGTGAAACCATGTTTTGGCAGAACCCTGAACTCCAACTGCATAGACGCAAGAGCAGCCATCCTTTTTGCCGTCTTATTGTTCTTTGCCTACAGCAGTGATAAAAATTGTGTCCATATGGTGAGTAGAAGCAGTCCCAATAAAAATATCCTGGGTCCTTATCCCTTCACTTTTATCTTACCCCAGACTTATTCCAATTGCTTTGAAAAGCTGATCTCTCTGATGGCAGGTGAGCTGCATCGTGCTGAAGTTATGAGTTCAAAGGGAGGGAGAAGAGAAACCCCTGATGTTGCACTGCTGCAGTCTCTCTTTGCTGGGGGGGGGGGGGGGGGCAAACGAATGCCATGGATATCACACTCTTTGCAGCTGGGACCGAGAAGAGGTTTCAGATGACTCGAGCAAAGGGACTACAGTTTCAGGATAGCACATGCCAGGAAGGACATTCTCTCCTACCTAGCTAATTCTGAAAATATAATGTGCAGCCGCTGGCTGATCCGGGGGAGCCTCATGCTTGCACAGTGCCTGCCTGGCGGTTGACCTAGTTGTGCATGCAGGGAGTCGCACACAATAACCCATCTGTCAAGCCACTGCAGAATTCTCTCCCAAACAAGCAAACAAGAAATTAAAGGAAAGCTCCAGCCATGCTGATAAGCTTGTAGAGACACACAGGGCTTGTTTGTTCAATTTGGGATTTGTTTGGTCCTCTCCTTGAACCCAGTGAAAGGGAAGGCTGAGAACAGAGCCTGCAGGAAGACTCAGTGTCTGAGCGCCCACCCTGCTCCATGTCCTCCCATGTCTGGGAATTCCCTCTGCTGTGATCCCATCTTCCTGAGAGAGAAAGGCACTGGCTAACGGGACCAGACTTCAGGGGAAATGTGCACGGCAGTTTCTGGCCAGTTGCTCCCTGGGTAGTATGATGTCCCTAAAGGATTGTCTATAAACTTGCAGGCACTGGTCTAAATCCTTGTTATTTCCAGAAGCAAACTAACACAAGAATTGTCCTGTGCTAGCAAACACACCTTTTTTAGCCCCATGTGTTTTGGGACCATGTAGATTATTCTTAGAGTGGTGTCTTACTGAAGTGTATCTTGAGATGGCTGGAAATGGCCCCATCAGCTCTTCTTACTGAAAATAAGATCCATAGATACCCCTTCTCAGTCTGGCTGTATCTGTGAGGTGAGCACTGCACCTCCTGTGGGATGGTTGTGTGCATCATTCAGCTCAGGGATCTTCAGATGTAGAGCTGTGATCAGCCCTGAGGCACACAAAGCTGATCTGCATGCAGTATGTTCTCTTCATGAGAACGCAGATGAAGGCAGGCTGGCCTTGCTCTGTTACAGCCACATTTCTCAGGATCCCAAAGAAGATCACAGACTCTGCAACATTTGCATGAGAAATAAATGCCCTAGGGCCCATTCTTCCTACAGGAGACATCAGCATAAATGAGACTCTGCAGAAAATCTCCTTGCCACCTGCAGGACAAAGGGCCAGCACAGATCTGCTTCTTATTTGTAAGGCATTGCACTGCATGCTCAGTAATCCCCCAGACCTACTGTCCCTCCACGACCAAAGCTTTCCTCTCCTGCGACAGTGCAGTTGGGCTCTGCGCAGCAGTGCTGCCAGCAGGTCTCTGCTTGGCTCCTGTGCAGCCCCAGTGAGCTGCAGTATTCTGCTTTCCCACTTCACGCTATGTGACCACCAGTGTATTAACAATCTTCTGAGAACATCAGTGCAGCAGAGCAGTGAACATTTTAAGCTCACAGAGTCCAAGAAATGGGAAGAGGACTTAAGCTTTTCTTTTTTTTTAGCTTTTAATTGTAAGATAAATACCAAATAACATCACTCATTTACTATGCAATAGAAGTGTCATCTGTTAGAAAAGGACAAACAAAGATGCTAATATAATGCAAACTCAATCTGTGCTCCAATACTTGCTACAGCTTCTGACTGGATGTTAAAAATCTGCCACTCTGCTCTTGCCGGGTAACTGCTCTGGATTCTTAGCCAAGAGCTGGCACTGCTGAGCCAGGGTCACTCCAACAGCAAGACAAGGTCCTCCATTCAGCGGAGTGAGGAAAATCCCAAGGCATATGGGAGCAGGAGTCAAGGCAGAGCTGCTGCAGGTTTTCTGCAGTGTTTTAAAAGGGATGCTGTATTATGAAAGCTGCTCCAAAACCATTCTGTCCTATGTCATTAAGTCAGAGGCAGATGGTGGTGGTATGGCAGTAGAGATTGAACCTTCCAGACAACATTGTGCTACATGTTGTTGCTGTGTGACAGATGGCAGCAGACAGAATGGTGTCTGACATGGAAGTATGGATGAAGAAAAGAGGTCTCATTGATTAACTCTGTGCAGGAAAAAATGGCACCCACTGACATTCACTGATGCTTGGTGAACATTTATGGAGACCAAGCAGTGGATGTGAGCACAGGGAGGTGGTGTGTGGTGCGTTTCAGCAGTGGCAGCACTGACATGAAAGCCACATTCTGGATGGCCATGCACAGCTGTCATACCACAAAATGAAGAGAGTCTCAACCAGCTCATCTATATGAATCAGCTAGTGATGATGACTGTGTTGAAAAATAGTGTTTTGTAGCTGAGAATTTGCTCTACCAAACAGTGCTATTGTATTCTTTATAGCTGTTGTGGTTTCCATGGAAATAAATAGGAGGCATTGCTTTTGGAGCAACCTACGTGTGACAGTTTGTGAACGTGGAAATCTCTCCATTTTTTATTTTATTTTATTTTTTTCTCCTGGAAGATGTGTATTTAAAAACAAACAAACAAAAAAAGCATCTTGTTGTATGTTTTCCTTTGCAGAGTTCATGAATACAGAAGGGCCTTTTACACAAAGATCTTCCTCTGTACCACATCTAAACAGGGAGTACTTGCTGTGCTCCTGTGGGGCTTGTTCTGTGGAAGGAGGCAAATGCAAGGTTTGGGTTTCTTCCCAAGAATTCGGCAGCCGCATTGCAAATAAGATCACTACTTACATTGCCCATATTTACATAGTCTAAATATCACCGGAGAACGTCAGCTGCGAGAATCTGCGTCACAGACATGCCTTTATCTTACTTTTTGCAATGCACACGTCCAGTCACTGTGAGGTGTTCTTTGTTGCAAATCAAGCGTCAAGCGCAATTAATGCTTAAGTACAAATCTGGAAATGTTTCCAAGAAGGATTTCCATCCTGGAGTTTTTAAATTGCGTTCGCCCTGTTGTGAGCCAAAGCAAGGTTGAAATACAGAGCGGAGGACTGAACAGGCATTACCACATGGTGCTGATTGTGGTTAGCACTGCAATAGCTTTCATTACATGGATCATTTCAGAAGACAGGTAACGTGTGACTGGGCTTACCAAAATGAGTTACTTCTCCATCTATTAGTAACGTGCTGGCTTGCAGGAGATGAAGCTGGAAAATAATACCATTGTAACTGCAATTAGCAGCACACGTCTGAAGAGTATCTTGAGCTTGTGCTCCTATTATATTTGGAGTTGTTATGACAAGTTTAACTGTTATGTGGCCTCCGGGGCTGAATTCTGCTTAAATAATGATGATAGTAAAATGTATTTGAAGTATTTTAATGTTTTTAATTGATGTATTTTAATGTATTTGAAGCACCTATAAAATTCCTCTGCTGACTGGGGCAGCGAGGATCATCTATGCTTAACTACAAAGGTTACTAAATGGAAACATTTCTTTTTCTTTTTTTCAGAAAATATTTCTCTTTCTGACTTCCACCTTAGTACATGAACTGACCTATGGTTGTTTGCAGTTGTGTATAGCTCATACTGCATGCTTAGGACTTCTTAACCCGAATCACTGCAAAAGAGGAATTTCAATTTTTCCAGTGTCATTAGTTCCAGCTGTAATTTCATGACCCCTCTTCTCATTCCCTGCTTCCCAGCACACACAAAGCAGAATGCAGTTCTTTGAAGCTGGTGCTCTTCTGTCCAAAGAGACCATCTTGGAATGACTGCTAATGCATGCTCTGCTTCATATTCCATCCCCCAAAATACTGCACGTTGACTTTGCAGTTACTGTAGTGGATGCTAATATCATTTGCCTTGTTGTTTATGACTTAAGTGATGCTATTTTTAATGGTGTTCTGGCATGTCAAATTGTAAGCGCATTTTTGGCAAAGAGTGCATGCAGCTCCTGGCTCTTCACCCTGCTCAGTCGCTTCGATCGATGCAGACACTGCCATTACAGTGACACCTACAGAACACATTAATGCAGCCTTAATTACTGATACAGCTGCTCTGCCAAGAAACAAGCTACACTGCATCATCCAGATGATTCTTTGAGGGCATTTATGCTTATTTTTTTATCCGCAGCATAAAACCTCTTGACCGTTTGTGAAGTTGGCTTTCTTAATCACCGTGGACCAACTCCATACATTCCCCTCAAAATGTATTCCCCAGAGGCTTAAAAGACTTCATCTCCAGCATCGCATTGCAGAAAGCTGGATTTCTGGTCTGGCACATGGGTTGACTTCTTCCTTTTTTCCACCCTCCAGCTTCTTTGGAATATCAGGATTCTGATCTTCCTGCAACTCAAAGCAGTTAAATGCAATTTCAGGCAGTTTTTCTGCTTGAGGGCATAATTTCAGTTTGCTCGTTATGACAGCCTTGCAGTACAAGTTATTATCTGGCACGGGTAGGTGTATAGCTTTGTATTTTCATTGGAATCTCATTTATTCTCTGTTCTGGGAGTGCTGAAAGCTTAACATGTCATTAGTATTCTTTCTGGTCTTTTGAAAACTATCAGCTGCATCATTATAACACAAGGAAAATGGGTCTCTCTCAAGTTCCCCTCCTATTAGGGCATGCAAACTATGCAAAACCTTCATTTTTGGCCTGGGCTGAAGCAGTTGAACACAGAATCAGACATTAGTGACAACTAATTACACCGTCCGGAGCCTCAGAGCAGCAGAAGAAAACATTGCTTATCAAGGAGGATGAGCCGAGACAGTGACCTGGTTTTCCCAAGTTGTGCACAGACAGTGCTGGGAGCGGCGGCTGACAAGGAATGCTAATGGTGTCAGGCACAGGGAGCAGCCCCGTCCTGCAGGCAGCACAGCTGCATGTGCTCCCACCAGCCCTGTGCCAAGGGGCTCCTTGGAGTGCTCTGCAAGTGTTCCCTTTGCCTTATATGTTGCTCGCTTGCTCATTCAGAGTGCCAAGCAAATGTATGTAGATTGCTCCATAAGTAATGCCTCCTATTTATTTCCATGGAAAATACAACAGCTACAAAGAAAACAATAACACTGTTTGATAGAGCAAATTCTCCGCTACAAAATATTGTTTTTCAAAATAGTCACCATCATTATCTACATGCTTTTGTCAGAAATGTACAAGAGCCAGCAGGCTGGCACCAGAAGTGACCATGGCCTCCTGCTGACACATTTACTTGTGTGGGCACCAAGCAGCCTCCCTGCTGGAGGAGGTATACAGGAAGAGCAGAGCATAAGTTGTATCCATTCCTCTTCCACTGAAAGAAGAAGGCTCTGTTTGCTGGATCCTTTCCACCTGATAAAAAAGATGGAGATGTTGCTATGCGCAATACATGGGGCTACATAGGGTTTGAATTTTGAGTGGTCCTTTGTGGTCCAGCTGGGAGCTGGACTCAATGAGCCTTGAGGGACCATTCCAACTCGGGATATTCTGTAACTTTCTGACAGGTGGGGTATGAACACATCTTGCTGAAGTGCGTGGCTGCGCAGTGCAGCCTGCTGCCCCAGGCCTCCTGGCCCAGCCATACTTAACCTGCTAGGCCCCTTTTCTGGAGACAACGGACCTCAAGGAAACGCTGGTCAGGCCAACAGGCTGGCACGAGGCAGGCTGGTATCTGGACAATGGAAGCATTCTTCTGATCAGAATTTAGAAACCAGACAGCTTAAAAAGACAATAACAAGACAGTGCTTTGGAATAAAGGGCCCCAAACACAACAGTGTCTTAGCTGTGGTACTGCAAGAAGGATCACGTGTGCCAAATTTTCTGTTGTGTTCGCTGTTTTTATTCAAGGTGAACAGATTTATGAACACGTGATATGTGTGGCAAAGAAGGATGATTTGGATGTCTATTCCATTAATTCTTCTCAAAGAAAAATGGCAAGGTGCCCTTACAAGCCCTTTTCTACTTAGTGCTTGGCAGAAGGGACAATCCATGTTTTTAAGATTTCACAGTCACACAATATGGCATTTGGAGTGTTTTTAAGTGCTTATTTTGAATCATCGGTAGATTTTCTGAGCTATCTGTAGGGATCACATCTTTCTACCATCTTCAATGGAACTGAACAACCAATAAGAAAAATCCCCTACAAAATAGGGAGCAAAAACCATCAAGATCAGAAAAAGAGACAGTGGGAGTAGCAGAGATATTGAGACAAGCAAAAAGTCCCTGAGGAATTGGGAAAATAGAAGGAAGAAGAAACTTCAAGGCATTGCAGCAGAATGTGAGACCAGCAGTATGGCTGGGGACTGCAGCCAGGCACAGCTGGGAAGAGCTGTGAGAGCAAAGGGCTTGGGGGTGGGCCAGGCAGGAGCACAGTGCCTGGCATGTCACTGTATGTGGCAAATTAGAAATCTCAGTAGGCTTTCCATTGTTAGCTGTACCAGAAGACTTCCCACCATGTTGGAGATGTTAAGTTATGTGTGTCCTGCTTTTGCCACCATGGAATTTCAACAGACATCCAAAGTCTGCCATTCATAAATTATCCCTAATACATTGTAGAAGTGGTATAATTTGGGCAAGCCATTTTTCCTAAGTCTAGGCTCAATGGATGATGGCAGCTGTTCTGCTGCTGTTTTTGGTTTTATTTTGTAAGGCATGGCATTTGCATTCCTCAGCTGCATGAACAAGACAAGGCAAGGGTTGACGTGGAAATTCAGAACAGAGAGTAGTTGGATTAGCTCTGTGGTAAGCAGCATTGCATTTCAAGGGCTAACAATTCCTATGATCAAATATTTGTATTTTCAGGGACTATATCCTCTCTTCATTGATTTGTAGTTGACACGATGAAATCATGATAAATCACGATAAATCATCTCAGCAAGGGAGGACAAGGGGGAGGGTTAAGTTAGAATTGTTTGGGTTAAATATAAGAAGATCATCTTGATTTTACAAATTTCCAGGAAATGCACTGAAGAATTCTTGTCACAGACATGAAGGTCTAGTTTTACGGATTCCCTTTTTTGTCACTGTGACACCATTTGGTGGTTGTTGTTGTTCGAAGGGATGATGATGGAGACAAGGCTAATTCAGTAAATTTCATGAGTATTCAAATAATTCCATAGCGGCCCATGCAACAGCTGGCTCAGCATAAATGAGAGCAAGTCTTTTTAGAGGTCTTATTAACAGTTTTAAGGAGTATTATGTGAACAACACCATAAAAACATTTAAATTCAGGCATTCTACTTAAGAATATACATTCATTAAGTGAATGTAAATTAAAGTTATCATGAAAAGGCAGTGTAATTAAGATTTCTGATTTGTGTAATGATGAGAAGTGTGCATTAAATTCTTAGTTTAAGAATTCTTTGTGAAAGTGATGACTTGGGCATTGACAAGGATGTAACTGTAGATGAAACTCTTTCATAGAACAAGTTTTTGGTTGTTTTTTTTTTTCCAGACTTGAATTTGGAAATCATCATTTTGTCACAGTTTCCAATATATTAGATTTGTTACATGCATGAGTATGACCATTAGCTTTGTGTAATAAACAGTTTGTTGTAAGAAATAATGTAGCATATAATCAAAGCAAATAGTAGATCTAATTGCATTCAATTTATCTTTGGCCATGTCCAATCTGGTGTGGAATTTAAAAGGAAATTCAAGAATTAAATGGAAGTCATTGAAACCAATTACACTTCAGATTGTGTTTACATGTAAAATCTGAGAAATACAATCCCTAGTTTATTATTATAATCAATCTTCTGAACCCTGCTTCTCCAATAGAAAAGGGTAAGCATTCCTTTGGCTCCTGAGGGCAAACCTGGAAAAAAAAGAAAAAAAAAAAAAAAAGCCTGTGGCCCTGTTCTGTAACCAGAAAGAGATCAGGACCAAATCCAAAATGATGGAAAGACACTCTGCTTTACACAATTCTTTCCCACTAGGACAACCAGTTGTGGAACCACAGAAGCCTCCCTGGTATGTTGTTGTTGCTCTACCTTGCCTCAGGCACTGTGGAAGGGGGGAAGCAAATTCTGAAATGCACAGGAAAATTATATAAAATGGAGAAGGGTATAGAAAGAAGTTGAGAAGAAGGAGAGGATGGTGGTGTTTTTTGCTAACAAAATGAATTTTCAAGGCTGTCTGCTGAGTGGCATCAAAGAGGAGCATGGAATTTCGAAAATGTTCGTGACCCAGAGAACATGTTCCTGCCACATCAATGCATTTGTGGCACTGTCAGTGCTTGCAGAAATTTCAGTGAGGCTGCATCCTTCTACTTATTTCAAAATAATCCACTGAAAACAATTTGGTGCCTTCGAATCTTTTACTCACAGGAAAATGTATTTTGCAAAGCATTCACTGTTACTTCTTACCATTTCAAACATGAACAGAATTATCTGCCCCCTTTGCACACAGTTTTTAACAAAAAAACAAATCCTGTTCTCAGAGTTGCAGACCAGTTTTACTGGTGATTCTCATGATGGTCAGACAGATGGTCAGACCCATGGCACAGTGCTCACTGCTGTCACCCACTGTTTGCCATCCCCAGTTCTGGAGGTCTCCACGAAGAGGGGAGCAGCAGAGCCACAGCCCCTTTGCCTGGCTCAGCGCAGCAGCTCTCAGCAGCTTGTGCCTCCTGCCTACTGTTGGCTTTGTCAAGCCTAACCCTGCTGCCTGTCTGGATCTGCTCTTAGGATCATACTTTGGGTTAGGAGTTGTTAGAAACAGGTGAGAACTCCTGGCTCGGCAAGGCATCTTCTGGTTTGAGAGTGCTCACTGGGCCACACATTCTGGCTGCTAGGTATGAAAAAGAGCATCGGACACCAAACAAAAGATACCCAGATTTCACTTTTATTTCTATCTCACATCTGACCCAGGAAATTTCCTCACATTCTTGGGCAAAGTGTGGCTGAAGTCCTGAATAAGATCAATTGGCTCAGGGGACTTTAATGGCAACAAAATTAAAAAGGGATTTCTTTTCCTGATTTTGAGGACCACAGAAAGGATGAGCCTAGAAACAGAAATTACAAGCTACAAATCTTAGAGATCAGGGCCAGCCTCAAGAGAACATCAGGTACATTAACACAGCTTGCTAGAGATGAAAATCCAGCTTGATTGCATCCAAATAGGGACTCAAAATCTTGTTGACAGACCATATCTTTAGAAGCCCCAAGTGCTAGCAGCAGTGCTCTGACAACTCAGTGCACAAGTTGGAGCTGTGCAGCTCCTCTCCTTTCAATGTATGTGCAGATCCTGCAGGTCTTTCTGTGTGCTCCTCATTGTGTTTTAGGAATAATTATCTCACATTGGTCTCTGCTGCCATACATGGCATACAAGGGTTTTCTTTTCTTTATGGAAAAAAATTCCTTTTGAGGAAGTCTGTCTTAACTTCTAATGCATGCAAAATTTCAGATGCAGAGGGCTGTGAATAGTGCCAGTCTGCTTATCTTACTCCTGCTAATATTAGTAAATCTATTCATGCAAGTAAACAAGATTCATCTTAAGTGGGTCAAATATTTTTTTGTCGAAAAGAAAACAAAGATATTCAGAGGCCTCTCAGATTGACATGAGGTCTCAAGAGATCATTCTCCCCCTCACTGCTCACAGGTCACACAGGATGGCAGAGAGGGACACTGATGAGTGCAGTGTTCCTTCAAGGCTCAGATAACAGGCTTGGATAACTTCCTCTCTGAAAACTGAGGGAACTCGTGCTTGACAAAATGCCCTAGCAGCCAGGGAAGCTCAGTCAAACCGCTGCATCTGCTGTCTGGAAAACACAAGAACACGTGTGTCTTTGGCAAGCTGAAAGGTGAGTGACAAGAATTACCAGCAAGCGTAGGAGTGTGAGAACACTCCTAATTGTGTAGAGCAAGGATCAAATTTGGGAAAGACTACTTATACAAAACATACAGGGCTGAGAAAAAAAAAATCTGGACGGAAAAAAATCCTTGCAAGTGTAACATACAGCAACACAGATGTATGGACAAAAAGCTGGGCATGAGCCAGCAGTGTGCACTTGCAGCCAGAAGCCAACTGCATCCTGGGCTGCATCAACAGAGGGACGGCAGCAGGGAGATGGAAGGGATTTTTTCCCTCTGCTCTGCCCACCTGCAGCACTGTGTCCAGATGTGGGGACCCCAGCTCAAGAAAGATGTGGAGCTGTCTAGAGGAGGGCACAAAGACGATCAGAGGGCTGGAGCACCTCTCCTGTGAAAGGCTGAGGGAATTGGGCTTGTTCAGTCTGGAGAAGAGAAAGTTGCAGGGAGACCTCATTTTGACCTTTCAGCACCTAAAGGGAGCTTATAAACAGGAGGAAGACAGACTTTTTTACATGGTCTGATAGTGATAGGACAAGGAGGAATTGTTTTAAACTAAAAAAGGGGATATTTAGATTAGATATTAGGGGGAAATTACATACTCAGAGGGTGGTGAGGCACAGGCTGCCCAAAGCAGCTGAGGATGCCCCATCCTTGGAGGCATTCAAGGCCAGGCTGGAAGAGCCCTGGGCATTCTGAGCTGTGGGCTGTAACCCTGCCTGCAGGAAGTGGTCTCTAATGTCCCTGTCTATCCAAGCTATTCTGTGATTCTATGACTCCAGTCCAGAAAATACTCCCTCCATTCTGTAACCACTAGTAACAGCACCATACACATTGCTTTAACTTTCATCAGAAGGCCTGGATGGCACGCGGAACACTTCATCTCACTTCAGCTCTTGGACTGCTGCATTTTTAAGTTGATATGGACCTATCCCCGTTCATTAGTTCACTCTTCTGGGAACAGATGCCTCCTGTTTATCCATAAGGAAAACTTCATGCCTCTTCACCAGTCTAAAGACATTCATAATGAGAAAAGATAAATTTCACAGAGGCCAAACCCTGAGCCACCACCTGATCCTGCAGGTTTTCATGATAATCTACAGTACCTGGACAGAAGGAGCTAGAATGTGAATGATCAATACACAACTAAATCTCTACTACATAACAAGTCCAAGTTGTTTCTAACTTGGGCTGAGCTTAGGTCTATTTCTCAATAGTAGGAAGACCATATTCTATTGCAGGTACTTAAAGCTATTGAATCTTCTTGCTGTTAACTAGTTAATATACCGTATGCATGCAGGTTACTGGACTCCACAGCAATGCTCATATTTGAATATTCTCTTTGATAATCCTCATTCAGCTGGTAAGATATCTAGTTCACAGACATTTTCTTTTAGTCTCTGGTCATCCACTCTGGTTTTTGTAGAGGTGAATGACATTTTAGTAGTGGACTAATAAAGGCTACATCTGTAAACAGCAACTGTGGTGATAGCATATTGCTAGATACTCCCTAAATCAAGACTGATTTTTTTACTTTAGAATTTTCTAAAACAACCACATTGTGTTACTTATTTGTGATACTCTTACACAGTGCTTTGAGCCACTGTTTCCATTAATTTTCTATGCGTCAGATCACCCCACATGCCACTATAGAAGCTATGTCCGTCAAAACAGTGAGCCTGTATATACTCATTTTTTAACCTTCTCTTTGTTCAAATGACTTAGTGTGAGTATGAGATGTATTCTGTAAATATTCACTGCGTAAACCAGTCTAATCCAAGACCAGATCTGATTTCTGCTGCAGCTATTTTGATCCGGCCAATAATTCAGCAAACATAGCTGAGAGGCGACTGCTTTGTGTGCTAAGGCAGAAATGTCTTTCCTCCCACCACCTCTGTGCTTTTAATAATTATGAATCAATCCTCCAGCTGCTTATCAGTGTTTCTTTCCACTGGACAGGAACAGTGATAGCTCTGAACTATGCAGCAATGAGAAAGGTACAAAGATTCGAGTACCAAAAGGAACAGTACTGCCAGCAGGTCCCATTTACATAGATTGTTCTACTACATAGAGGCTGCTGGAAATCTGCCACTTCTACAGCACAGTGGGAACAAGGGGTCCTGTCATCTGTCCCCGTGCTCATTTTCCTTTCCTCCTATGCCTGCTCTGTGCACAGCCATTCCTCCCCTGCGCAGCTCAGACCAAAATGAAATTTTGACTGCTTCTTTCCTCCTACTGCAATGGCTCGGTGCTCCTGCTGGACAGCTACAGATTGCTAACTGTTCCTGGCACCGGAAGCCTCCGCATGGACGTGAAGCCAAGAAGCCAAGAGAGAAACCATATTGCCAAGTCCAAGTACTCTGAAATTGCAGCAACCTTTTCCCTACACAAAAAGTGGGTTATTATGTGTATTCTGTTGCTCTGTGTTTTCAGTAAACACATTTCAAACTCTTCTCTGTGATCATGATTTTATTCTCGATGGAAGCTGGAAATTCTTGCACACCCGTACAATTCCTGCACCTGAGGCTTTAAGAAAAAATACTGATGACTGCAGGAGCTGGCAGCAAAGAGGGAAGAGGAAGAGGAGACGGAGGAGGAAATAATCTCATTCTCTCACCTGCAGGAGCGGAATCTGATCCCTGCTGATGTCTGATGATAGAGAGTGCATCAGAGAGGGAAAGGAAATGGGAGAACCAGAGGCGAGAAGAGGTAGCCCATAGGAAGACATAAAGAGAAGGAAATACTTTGGGTTAGTGGAGAAGGTCATCAGGCTACACAGCCTTCAGACATCTGCCCAAATCAGTTTGAAACTCCTGACCACAGGCTTACCTCACCACTGAGTATTTTTTGCATTCCAAAATGAGAGGTGGGGAAGGGTGTCCTTCCTGCTCCTGTTTATCTGACTCACACGGATAAAACCTAATTTTGTCTACATCCAACTGTCAGCAGTGCGGGAAACAACACGTGTGGAGGCAGAAAAGGAAATGTGGTACAAGAGCCTCACAATTGGAAGTGAGGGCTGTACCTGCCTTTTGTGCTCCCCTGGCTTTTCATCTTACAGAACACAACGCAAGCTGTTACTCTAGTAATCCATGAAGCACATTGTGCATGCAGAGCCACACAAGGTTACTAACTGAAGGATTAAAACTTAGTGTAGACAAATGTTAATGAAGTGAAGGAACTGTTACTGAACTTCTTGCATTCTGCCTGTGCGTACAAAGCAGCATTAGTTTTGTGAAGTACAATGATAAAACTACATACACTTTCAAGCTGTGACATCAGTTTTCTACTTCTGCACTACTGTCACCAGTGAAAGTGGAAGCACTGCATAGAGCGTGGGTCCTCATTCTGTATGTAGTTCACTCTTGAACAGTGTGCCACTTCTTTTTGTTTCTTCAGTAGATTGGAGAGGATGAAGTTTATGTTTCTGTTTTCAAGTGTTGCTTCCCCCACGAGCAGGAAATCCTCCCTCCCTCCACGTTTTAAAATAGCTGACAGTGCCCCCAATTAATTGCATATCAAACTGAACTTCTTTTTCCTGGCCTACGTGACTGTCCTCCCCTCCTCAATAGTAAGCCTGTTTTCATGTGCACGGTAAGAATATTAAAAACATCCCCTATCTAGCAAAACAAGAACTCCTCTGGGAAGGTGCATGTAGATGAAATGGCAGCAACTGATGTGGCAGTCACATTCCTCATGCACTGCTGAGACATCTTCAGCTACTGCCATCACAAGATAAGAACACAGATAAAATAAATAGTTCTAATGGAACTACTGTTGACCTATTATTTTTTTTACTGTTGACCTATTTTTTTTACTTATTCTTTCACCATCACTAAACTCCTCCAAACTTTTAAACTAAACCCTTTTCCTAGTTTAAATCCCTTCCAAAAATACATCTTAAAAAATCTGTATTACCTAAGAATATAGCTGTCTGAATGGCTCCTCCAGTTATATCCCTATAACCTTTGTCCTCGCCTCTAATCCTTCCTTGCTTTTTGCCTGTTAATGATTCACATTTATGGTACCCTTGTCCAGGATCTGTCCAAATCTCTCTTCCTATCTCTTTACAGCTTTCTTCTTTTTTCTTTTTCTTTTTTCAGTGTGTGGGTTATATTTTTGGGTTTTCGGCGATTCCTTTCCTCCTCCTGCACTTACTATTCCAGAATAGGAACTCAAAACAGCAGGCGAGTCACCAATGAGGAGTGTAGCACAGAACACACTTGAGAAAACAGCAGTGCAAACTGTTGTGGCTTTATTCCTGAATGCAGGGCTTGTCACAAATGTATGCAAGAAGTCCACTGACTTCTGCATTAAGTGCCTGATTTTACTGGCTGATCTGTATCCTCTTAGTGCTCTTATCGGGAAAGATGAGACACCGCACTGAGACTGCATACATTTGTCAGCTCTCTTCCTCCTCATTTAAAACGATTCGCAAAAGAGAAGGTGACAACAGATGAAGAGTAAACAAACTCCATCACTGCATTCTGCAGAACTTCTGTCTCATTCTATTTCTGCAGAGATGACAGGTGTGTGTCTATTAGCCACTTTTCTACATTCTCTCTTCTACAAAACTCAACAAACCCAGCTTTACCTTGGAAGAAAAAAAATCCAACCTGCACTAACCCCCAGGATTTTGGTTTTAATTAATAAATTAGTGTTTTCTTGGGTTAACAATTACCTTCCAAAACAATTACTTTCCATCCTTTTCTATCTTTTCTTAGCACCTTGGAAGCACTACAACTGCTTGAAGGAGCTTTAGGAACCTGGCAACCCTGTGTGCTTTGGAAACTAACATGGCAGGACTGTGGGATCAGGGTTCAATTCTCAGCTCCACCACCAAGCTCCTTGGTGACCTTTACCTGAGCACCCTGTCTCTGAGTGGCTGTTTTCCACCTGCAGCATGAGCTGTGCTTCCTCACAAGGATGTTATGAAGTAATAAGGACCTTAGGACGTGCAGATGTACGAGCACCTAAGCGGGTAGGCTAAATCCCATTAGTTCATGTATTTACTTGTCTTGAAACTCACCTAAGAGTGAGGTGAGTTAGGTCCCTTCCAACCCAAACCATTCCATGCTCGTTCTCCTCCAGTGAGCTTTGCTCACAGCTTAATGCTCCATGTATCAGCAGACTTCCGCTCCCTTGGCGAAGCAGGCTCCTGGCCGGCTGCGAGGACCCGACCTCTGCCACCTGCTCAGCACTGCATGACACCGGCCTGGTCTCATTGCTGTGGATGTTGTTATGGAATGGAGATCCAGGCTGTCACACAAAACCCGCCTTGGGCTCTGAAGGATGGTCTCTGACAGCTCCCGACCTGCTCTCTGCATGGAACTACAAAAAGGGCTGCAAAAAAAGGTGGGTTTTCGAGCACTGTCTTCCAAGGGCCCCGATTCTGGAGACAACTCAGCGTCCCGAACCCAACGCCTGTGTCATACACGCTTCGCTATTTCCGCAGCCCCTGCACTCCCCTTGCCCCGCTGTTCACGGTGCCGTTCCCTGCCATTCCCGAACTGGCGGCTCAAAACAAAAAGCTCCACTTCCGAAGACGCTCCGGCGCCTCAAAGAGCGGCGGACGCGGGTCCCGCTCAGCGCGGTACTCGGGCCCCGAGGGAAGCGGCCGCAGAGCGCGGCCCGCACCTGCCCCGGCGGCCGCCTCCACGTCGGCGGATCGGGAGCGGCGGGGCAGCGCCTCCGCCGCCGCCGGCACGGGGCGGGCGGGAGCGCAGCCAGGCCCGCGGGGAGCCGGGTTTGAGGCGGGAAGGCGGGAGCGGCGACGGCTCTTCCCGCCCCGCAGCCGGTGACGCGCGGTCCCGGCCCCTCCCCGCCTATAAGAGCGCTGCCGGCGGCGCCCCCTGCTCCTCTGCCCGCCGCGCCGCTCCGCCGCCCGCGCTCCGTTCGCGTTCCGCCGCAGCCCCGCGCCCCGGCCCGCTCCGTTCCGTCTCGTCTCTCTGTGTCCGTGCCCTCCCATACCGGCGCTGCGCTGCGCTTTCCCCGCCGGTCGCCCCCGCAGCCTATGGCCCTGGAAGGCGCCGCTGCCGCCGCCTGTATTTCTGCTGTAGGTTCCCACATCCCTCTTTAAAAATTCCGCCTAAAAAGAGAAGACGATTTACCAAATCTTTCGGGCCGTTATCTCACGTGAGTACTGGGGCCGGGGCTGCCCCACCCGCGCGGGGCACCCGGGGGCCGGCGGGAAGCGGGGCCGGGGCTGAGGCTGAGGCCGCCGTCACGCTGCCCGTTCCCAGCCAGGGCGAGCCCGGCTGTCCCCTCGCCGGCGGAGGCAAACGGAACGCGGGGGGGATGAGTCACGGCCGGGGTAGGCCCTCTCCCCTGCCGCTGCGGGGCCGCCGCCGCCGCCCGGCGCTTTGGGGCCGCGTCCCGGGGATGGGGTGGGCGAAGGGAGCCGCGGGCGGAGGGTCAGCGGGCGCCGCGCTAACATGGCGGCCGGCCGTGCCCGCCGAGCGGCGGACGGGAGGGGCGGGCCGGGCGCCGGGGCCGCGCTGCGGCCGCGTTGCGCTCCCGCGGGGCTCGGCAGTGAGTGAGTGAGGGGGCCGCGGCGCGAGGGGAGCGGGTGGGGGGCTCGGCGGCTCCGGCGGCCCCAACATGGCGGATCCCCGCGGAGGGGCTGCGTGCCGCCTACCCCGTCCCCCGCCGGGGCGGCGGGGGGAGTTCCGTGCCGCCGGTGGGTCCCGGGGCCGTGGGGAGGGCCGGGGGTCCCTCGGGGCGAACGGGCTGTCCGGCACGCTCTCCCCGGCACGCCGGCCCCGCTCCTGTCACAGCCGCCCGCAGCGCTGCGGACCGCCCTGCCGGCCGCGGTCCCGCCGGTAAATGACAGCCGGAAAGGAACGCGGGGCCGCCGGAGGGGCCTGGCTGCCGCTCAGGGGAGCCGGGGAAGCAGAGGTGCTCGCGGCGTGGCCGAGGCGTCTCTCCTCCTCCGTTTCGCAGAGGCCATGTTGTGTGTCTGTAACCGTGGCCATCCATCCGGGTTCCTTCCCGAGCTGTCACACCTCTCCTCCCCTCACCTGAGCCGCTCCCGAGGTGGCCCCGTGTTACCTCGGCTGTCCCTCTCAGTGCGGCTGATGGCAGCGCGGTGACAGCGCGAGGCAGGAGGCTATGGCACAAGTCATGCGGTGTTGCACAAGTGGCTCTTTCCGGCGTGAGAGCAGAAATGACGGGGCACGTTGCCTCAGCACCAGGAGGAAAAAAGGGGAGTCCTTTGCTCCCAGTCAGCTGTCTGTGGCCAGAGATGTTCCTCCTCCCAAGAAGCAGAGAAGGCAGTAGAAAAAAGCTTGTCTCAAGGATGCACCGTTTCCCAACTCCTTGGTCAGTCAGTACAGCTGCAGGTTAGGTGCTGCAGCTCCTTCTGGAAGGCTCCTGCCTAGGGCTTAGCCTCCTCAACGCGGCTGCCTCTGATGGTCCTGGTTGCTCAGCTGGCTGCTGCTAGCTGTGCTGTG